TTTCTGCAATACAAAATTGAGTAGTGGATTGTGAAGAAGTCAAATAGCTTTTTTAATTCCCTTGGCAGTGAATTTCATCTTGGGATATAACAAACAATAAAATGTGAACTGCAGGATAAGACATGTAAAATCATTCATTCTTCTCTATGGCAAAAAGCTATCTTTGGAGTTCTTTGTCTCATGATAGATATAAGCAACAGGAGCTCTTTGGTGGACTGCAGAACTAATAGTTTCATAAACTCATGTACTCCCTGTAACTTCTGAGCCACCTTGTTCTTATATCCAGGTCTGTATGAGCTCCAGATCCGTTGTCTGGCTCTGACACTGTGCCAAGACAAGAACCCAAACCACACTTCTGCACTACAGCCACAACACTGCTGCAAACTCCATGTACTGCACATGCTATAGCTTTCACCTGACCGTGAAGCAAGATGTTTCAGAAGCTGAGAGTATTCTGAAGCCGTGTGTATACAAATGGGTAAAGTGACAGCAGGAATTATTACTAGTACCATGAGCTGATTTTAGATGGGCACCAGCTTTCAGAAAACACAGAAGATCTAAAGATCTTCTGCCTTGTATGAAACTGCCTAACTGCTTCACAAATTCTCGGGGACATAAGAGGAGAGAATAGACAGGCACACAGCAAATTTAAGAAGCCTTGTTTTCTTATGAAAGTGTTTAAACAGCCTCACTGAAAATTGAGATACTCGCAGAAAGGGAAAAGAAACAGCTGAAGGGAGGAAAAAATCTTTGTGGAGAAATTTGGTATAAGGAAAGACTAACGAAACTAAAGATTGCTCAAATGGGAAAAAAATATAAAAGTAGCCTTTTTAAAGTAATGTATTAATAAGCCTGTTCACTTAGAATCAAAAGAAATACATGAAAATATGTATGTTACAGGAGCACTACTTAATGACATAGAGTACAACTTTTATGGAATATAAGTAGTATAACAAATCATGTTTCATCATCAAAACTACAGCAAAATGCAAATTTGGTGGTATGGTGAAACAAGACTGTATTTAGAGTCCAAAGCATGTCAGAAATGAGTTCTGGTATCTCTAATATCTCCTGGGCATGGAGGACTGTTGCTCCATTTCCATTTAAAAAGACAAACATTTCCACCCACAGTATCTGTGAGAATGAAAGCTTGAACAAATTGTGGGCTGTTTTGCCTAGTCCTAGGCTGGACCTATGTGAAGTTAGAATTAATTCAGCAGCAGCTTGGATCTGGAAGCAGTGCAAAAGCAACCACAGTTGAAACAAGCCTTGCAGGAGCCAAGGGCACACAGGAGGGCACCTATTGAAAACTTCACCATCTCCCTCTGGCACTCTGAGCATGCAGTTGTTGTGCCTGCTGTTAGACCTGATGCAGTTTCATGGCTGCCTTCACAATAATTGCAGCGTAAAGTTGCCACATCTTTCATTAACCCAGCACTGTGCAAATGCTTTCTACTGCTACAAGCTTTACATGGGTTTTCAGATGAGATTGTTAGGGTAAAGTATTTACTCTCATAACCCTCTGTAGGCTGAGACAGCTGTGCTTGGAGCCCATCTGTGGGTTCCTGAAGGCATGACATGGCACAATCATAAAGCAAATATAATCATAAGCCCAGCAGAAAAGGCCTTGGGGATGCTGTTCAACAGCAGCTGAGCATGAGCCAGTGAGTGCCCAGGTGGCCAGGAAGGCCAATGGCACCTTGGTCTGTGTCAGCAATAGTGTGGCCAGCAGGACCAGGACAATGACTGTCCCCTGTGCTCAGCACTGGTGAGGCTGCACCTCAAGTGCTGTGTTCAGTTTTGGGCCCTTCACTACAAGAAGGACATTGAGGGGCTGGAGTGAGCCCAGGGAAGGGCAATGGAGCTGGTGAAGGGTCTACAGTGTAAGACGTAGGAGTGGCTGAGGGATCCGGGGTAGTTTAGCCTGGACAAAAGGAGGCTCCAGTATCCTGAATAAAGCATATGAAACTCAATGGATTTTTCTATCTCTTGTGATAGTAATATTTTTATCCTTCATATCTTGGTTCCTGCTAGAGCCCTTTCCCTTTCCAATGTCAAATATAATCATCATCACTGAACACTGAAGCAGATTATTCTTTCAATTTAAGAGCCAGACCCAGCTACTTTTGTTTCTACTCTGTCCTGTCTGCATAGCAATTACAGCCTTTCATTACTGGCATTCTTCTCTGTTTACTTCAATATTTTTAAAATTATATATATACATACATATGTACATGAACACACACACATATATAAATGATTATAATGTATATTTTAAAAGAAAAGAGCACATGTGTTTTTAAAAGATAAGATTAAATTTTGGAAAATTTTCAAATTTTACTATACCCATACTTATTTTTGTATGAACTTGTATGTTAAAAAATCATATTTTCAACAGCTACTGATAAGACTAAGCAAACAAGCTCCTGTGAATATCCATGCCCAAACACAAATTATGAAAAAAATTGTAATTATTTCTATTTTATTAAAAAATGGCACTGAAAGTAACAAGAATCTGACATCATTAAAACAGCATAGGAAGGGAGATAGGTATTTTTTTCTCTGCTGCATCATCTACTTTTAGATGAGGTTTTGTTTATTATTTGATTTCTGGCTAAAAATAGATTAACATAGTCATGGTTATTTTGTCACTCTCAACGTGCTCAGATGACTAACAAGTTAAGGTCAAAATTTAATGTGTTCTTTTGCTCTAGGCTTTTACAAAATATGTGTTTTGACCTGTTAGTAAACCAGCCCTTAAATGTCACAAAAGGTGTCTCACAAACCATCAGACAGCTCTAAGTGAACCAGACCTCCTGTGCAAGACAAGAGTATTTTTAATTCTTAGGAGAGGCAAAGTAGAATCCAACTATCTTGCATGGTTCCTTGCCACTTGATCAATTTTCATCTCATTATTCCCCGCATTAGCTTGCAGGATTAACTGACTGTGGTGTGTAAGGCATGACATAGAAGAGAAAAAAAACTTAAATTTGGTCTTGCAGTTATCTCTAGAGGACAACAACAAATTGATTCATCCCCTTATCAAGGATGTTATTGAGGGCAAAGTTATCGCCATTTAACTACTGTCTGTCTATTTTGTGCATGGATATTGCCTATTAGTACACCATATTTTAATGCACTATTGGCCTAAAACCAGTAATTTGGGGATATATTGGCAGTCTAGTTTTTCTAAGTGTGTTACTGTGAGAAATAGTAGTGAGAGAAACAGGAAGAATAAATTATTAAGATATGATTCTTTTATGCTACTTATCCCAACTAATGAAGTAATCTTTAATTAGTTTTTGGGATTTGACACAAAAGTTTTCACAAAGGATTGTATAACAGTACTGTCTGAAAACAAAACCTTTCTAGCTGTTATTTGAAAATGCAAGAAAGGAGAAAGATGTGACTAAAAATGGTTGGACACATAGGAATTATTTAGATTAGTACTCAACTCAAGTTTATTTTTACACATCATGTTTTTAATAGTAAATATTAGGGGATCTTCTCTGTATGAAGACGTCCAAAGGAGGCTATAGAACTAAGAGTGGCTGAGGCAAGGTTTAGATATGTGGAGCTAATGTGAATCTGACTTTTTTTTTGTCTCCCTGCCCACGACTAATTAAACTAAAATCTCAGGAAGCACTATGATCCTTGTGGGTATCAAATTCTTAGAACAAATTCTTTATTTATGTTTCATTCAGAGTAATCATGGTGGTCATTATTCCATTTTTTAAAATCCAGTAGTCAATAATTTTACATATTTAAGGTTATTAATAGGTTTCCAGCATATTTTATTTTGGAGAAAAAGGAAAAAAAGTATTTGGTTTATTGATTGACCACAAATACATATTCCAGCATAAAAAGTATGGGGCAATTAATATTTTAATTAATGATCTAATGTATATTCCATTATCTTTTAGCCCTGTATACAATAATTTTCACAGCCTAATATATTTGCACCAATGCACTGTAATTTGCTGTCAAATTGCATTCAAGTGTATCCACTGAAAAAATTGAATAATGTTAATTTAGCAAACTTTCTACTCTCCCATTACTTACCATTAAGTTTAACCATCCAAAGCTACAGGGATGTTGTACTTTGAAAAATACTCTAGGTGATGTTAGTACTGCTATTATTGGACATCTTGGGTAAGTTTATTCTAAAACATTAAAAAGTAATACGACTCAGACCAGCCCACTGAAATGTCCTAATTGTAATTATCATAATTTTTAAATTACTAAATTGACTTGAGAGTTTTAAAAAATAATATTACAGAGCCCAAGTAATATGGAGGAGAACATGCGTACAAAAACTTGCAGAACATAATATGGACTGAATATATTAAGAACAAATCACTTACAAGTAAGCTGAAGTTACCTGACCCAACTCTAAGGGTGTCTGTTTCTTCAATTTTTTGAATAAAAGATATTGGTTAAAATAATTATTTATGAGAGGGCAGAAAGTTGAATGTCAGATGCTTACTAATTTAAGTCCTTCTTGGAAAAATGAACTAACAGTGACTAAAATTAAGTAACAGTGGATTTGAAAACATTAAGCAACAAATAGTTAGGATTAAAAAGGCCCACTGCTAAATGGAAAAAATCTGTGACAGTTTACTTTAACTTGACCTATATATTCTGTAAAAGCTCATAAAAATAAAACTGGTCTGATGCTATTGAGCAATACCACACACACTGGACCTTAAAAACATCTGAATATTCCAGTCTCTATGGAAAATATATTTCTCAAGAATTCCATTATAGGAGGCAGGTCATATATAAAAATCACTGTATTTTACATTTCATGTGATAGGAGTTTGTGGGAGTTTTTTGACAGTTAGTTACAGCAAACTGGAGTCTATAAGTGTTTTTGGATCTATGACTCATTAAATAGGCAGTGTATATATATTATTATACAGATATTGTTCTTTTAATCCAGACTTAATTTTTTTTTGGAGAATACTTGATTTTAAAACAACTTCTTGAACAACACCTACTTGAGGTCTTGGGAAGGTTCTGCTCTGATATGGGGTGTCTCCACAGAGTGCCCAAACACTGCCCCTTCCGTGCCTAAAATACATAAATAAAATACAGTACAATTACTTCGGAAAATAAAAACACATTGAAATATATGACCACAAATTTACACTATTAGGAAAAAAAAAGTCTGATTAAATCCTTTATTAATAACTATAAATGTTTCTTAATATTTACATTTTCATTTCTATATCAAAATCTGAACCAACATTCTGTGAAGCTCTGGATTTCAGCTTTTTCACATACAAATCTGAAACATTTACAGATCCAAATTTTTCAGAAACAGTTCATCTGAATGCTTATCTCCATATTTTGGAGAACACTTATTTTACAGAGAATGGAAATGTTATAAGTTTGTGTGTCAAAAGCACAGTAGAGAAATATCTGCTGCATTTTATATTCTGGTTATTTTGATTACTTAAATTGAGATGCCAAGTTATTAGAAGTTTTGAGATAACTGTCTCTTGCCTGAAGTTGCTGGCTTAATCTTGTTTTCTAACAGTTTCACAGTTTCCATCAGATGTTTCTCATTGAAAAATTTTTATCTCATGGAATGTGCTTTGGGTTGTGTTCGAAGTGGACCCTAAGGTATCTCCTACTGGGCATTTAAAATCCAGACAAAGAAAATGGGTAACAATTTTTCAAATATGAATTGTTTCTCTATTGAATTTTGATTTATGTTACTAGGTCCAAGTTAAATATAGTAATTCCACAGTTTTCATTGGACAACCAAGATTTTTCATTGAGAAACTCCTCTTCAATTAAAAAAATAAAACTCTGGTAAACATTCACTGAAGTTATTTCACAAAAAGATAATTATTTAATCAATTTTAAATGCATTTCTTGAAAGAAAATGATGGGGGGAAATAAATGACAAAAAAAAATCTTTGTTCTTTGTTAAAGTAATAGAAAACTCAAGGAATTTGTATGTAGGGGACAACACTATAAAATCAGCATTTCTATTATCTCTCCCCTCTAAGGACTGAACACATAAAAGTTATTTATACCACTCACTTTACATTTAATAGATAGAAATAAATAGCCACTGTATTTTCTTCAGCATTTGAAGTTTGCTTCCTTTTTTTCACTTACTGACAATCATCTGCCTATCTTTGTTTACTGGTTTATCCAATGTCATTGTTTTTGTCATCCACCTACATAAATTTTACTTTTCCTTCTCTGAAGGTGGTCTACTGGGCATTGTGCAAGCAAATAGCCTAGAACCAGGGAGAGAAAGTCTTTCCAACAGAGAACCTCCACCAAAGGCGAAAGAACTCAATAAAAATGTGTAAAATTAGTAATTTATCATCTATCAAAATAAAATCACAGAAACTGTCTGGGATAACTATGGGCCATTACTAAATATTCTTGAATTAATTGCTATATTTCAATAGCGGAAGGTTTCTTTTGTTCTTTTGAATTCTGAGTAGACCTAAAAATATACCTACAATATGTCATAGTAGGTCTGCAAGAAGCGCTCAACAGAACATAGCCATCACTCTAATTGCTACAGTATTTTAAATACAATGAAGTATTTTCAATTTTTAAAATATTTTGCAAACTTTTTCAGAAACTCTAGATGTCACAAAAGATAGCTATTAGACACTTTTACAGTTAACCAATGATATTTGAATTTGAAAGCAGAATGAGGTTATAAATGTCAAATTGATAACATTAATTTTTAGTGTTAAAGGGAAAATAGCCTGAGCAAGAAGCAAAAGAAGTCCAAGCTAAGCAAACTTAAATCTGGTAATGATTTTTTAAACTCCACCCTCATGAAAAGAAAACAAAACCAAAACCAACCAATCAACCAAAAAAAAAAAAATACAACCCACCTCCCAAAACTTTCAATGTGAAGTGGTCTATTAATATGGAATATTGAAGATAGGAAGAGGAGAGTAATGAATTAAAATCCTAGTCTTTTATCTCCAGAAATCGATAACGTTTACAAATATACTGGCAAAGAACGCTGAAAACAACTTTATTACAACTGCTGCTTTGAAGATCTCACAAAAAACCTCAACAAAATCCACTTTCTATAACCAAGCCTTGCTGAGTGCTATGGAAAACCACAGGAGGAAAAAAACCCAGCATATCTTTTTTCCTAGATTTATTTCTAAATGGATCATGCAGAATCTGTTTTTTAAATCTGGCAATGATTTGAGGTTCTCTTTTCTTTAAAAGACCATAAGAGCGTGTTTGCATAGCCAGGCCTTCTGCCACTCAAAATAAAGCTCATCCCCATCTACAATGAACCTCTCCGGGAGCTAAATATCCAAAATCAGAGTCTGTTTCTAGATCCCATTTCTCATTTTCATCAGTAAAATGAAATGCTTTCAACCCCAAGGGCCCTTTATATTTCTGAAGGTGGCAATGGGATTTGAAGCTGTAAGTGAGCAGAATGCAGAGTTGCCAGTTTTATGAGAAGACCAAGCCTGTGATATTTGAAAGAACATTATCAATGCAAAGATGCACGAAATTCTCTCTAGTATGTCTCTGACATTAGATCAATCAGTAGTGCCAAAGGTAATGTCAGGCAAAGACTGATAATAATAGTTAAATGACAGCTGGTTATAACCCAGCTTTAGTATCTCCTCACTTTCAGCATCATTATTTTAAAAAAAGAGAAGGCATTTCTTCCCTAAGAAAATAGAAATCTGAAAGAAAGACCAAGTTTTTCAAGCAGACTGTAAATCCAGGCAGGTAGAATTAAAGATAAATTGATATAATTAAATAAAATATAGTTAAAACTAAAACCAAATCAACTATGTTCCTTTTGCTATTTGAAAATGCAATCTTAATGTTTTTTTTTCTTCTCATACAACATCAAAAACAGAAGTATAACAGTTCCTGTAGTAAATGCTTTATTCTTAAAAAAATACTTTCAATAGTTCAAGAATATCTCCAATTCCCTTTATTACATAGTGGAATAAAAGCAGACACTATTAATTACCTTGGTTTTAGTAAGAAAAGGTGAAAAAGATCAGCCAACCAGAATTTATTGACGTGTTTCCTGCAGTTAAGCAGCAGGGTCAAGAAAAAAGACTATCAGCATTAATAAAAATACAGAAGAAAACATATATTATCCTATTTTTCAAGTAACTATATGCAAATATGCAATAATTTGATGGGAAGTTGAACCATGTTGTTCAGTATTCCTAAGAAATGCTACTATAAACTTACCTTCTAATGATATAATTAAATAAATAGAACTATAAAACCAAATTCAAAGTCCATAGCATTATTTTCTAATTGAAAGAAATATACTTTAAGTATTTGATAAGTTACAATGTTACAATAATTATTTTTACAGAAATAAGAGGACATTCTAATAACTGTATTCCCAGACTTACAGAATCATAGATAAGGCCTGCTTTGAGATAGTGAAATTCTAGTGAGAGACGAATGAATACATAAAAGGTGCAAAAAGAAAAGGCTTGAACCTTAAGGTCCTTTCAAGTACAGCTCAAAAGGGAGTAGTTGGGGAACTGAATTCAAAGGAACATGAGTTAGAATGGATAACTACAAAAAGTGATCCTTTTAGAGGAAATAAAATCACAAGGCCATGGAGTAGGTGCAAAGGATCTAAAATAAAAATTGTAAGTGTACCTGAACAAAATTACACCTTCAGCTTCCAGTTGAAGAGAATGAGTTAAAAAAGACTTCACTAAGAAAGAAGCATCTGTGCAGCCAAATTACTGATCAAAGAATACCAGTTATTATAGAGGTTGCTGGAGAAAACACAGTAAACAACACAAGCCAGGTAAAAGGCCAAAAGTTCCATTCTGTACTTTGAGAAGCCTTTTTATGTATAGCTGATTCATAAACTCCAGACCTTTAAGAAAGTTCTTGACACAGAGCAAATTAAAATTACCCTGTTGCTACAAGCAAAAAACAGTCACACGTTCCTGTTGAAACAGTCCATTCAGAATTCAGAAAGACCAGTACAGACTACTAATTTCTGCTCAGTTTACTGATTTCTTAAATTCAGCCCTTGGGAACTGGCAAGTGCCATTAATAAAATGGAAGTGTGACATTGGCATTTGATTCTGGATTATATTTGCTTATGCATGTGCATGGTAAGGAAGTTTTCTTCATTTATTCAATTAGCAAATAATCCTTTCATACTTTCTGAGTATTTAGCTTATATAACAAAATGGTACTTTTCAAAGTGGCTTTGTATGTAACTAGGACGAACAGACCGAGCTGCATTTTTTTTTAAATTTTGGGTTGTTTTTTTGGGAAGGCTTGTTGGAGAGTCTATTTGTTTTGTTGTTTTTTTGTTTTGTTCTGTGAAAAGAATGCTGGCTGAAGAATTGATAGGGCAAGAACTAAAAACTAATAAAGTATTTTGCTGTGAAAAATGACCTACATATTACCATTATCCCACTCCTTCACATCATTCATGTAAGCAAATCACCTAACAATGGAATTGTGAATCATTTTGATGTGTACAAACTACATGCCATTGTAGCATCACAGACACAGCTCAGTTTTACCACCCTGATTTTTCACTAAGTTTTTCAGAAACATCAAATAACTGTTAGTGAAATTATGCAAGTACTAGATTGGGATGCCAATTTGTCCACTGGGTTACAGACTTCAAAGAATGGTTTGTAAAACATTTGTTCTTTTTGCATTGTTGCATTTGTTCTTGTTGCATTTTTATTTGTTGCATATTAATTAGTTAAGTTAAAGCATTGACAGATTTTACAAAGAGGGATAGATAATCAAGATTTTTTTACCATTGAAGAGACCTTAAAAACACAGACTATGTGTTTTAAGTTTGGAACCTATATGCTGTAAAAATTTAATTGGAAAAAAAAAAATTCTTAATTATTTTACCATGTGTATATAGATAAAATTTAAAATGTTTTTTATGAACTTTGAAAGCTATTGTTCAACAATAAGACCTTGGAAGAGCTAATCACTGCCAGACTGGAAAAAAACCCAGAGATATTCAACTATGCAAAGCAATGATCGTTAAAAGGTGACATAAAATGTTTGTTCCTTCTTTTGTAAAAGCCCAGTTATTATACTTTATTTTGAGATGAGTAGAAATGCAGCTTCTGACCTTCACATTGGTTGTGCATTTCTTAAAGACTTCCAATTTTTTAAGTTACTTGAAGTTTAATTTAGCCAGGTACTTGTATTGAAAAGTAAGATTCAACTGGATTTTTGCTATGGAGATGTACATGACTAAAATAAAAGTAAGTGAGTTATTTTCTGAAAACATGATTGACGTGATTGCTGGCATTTCAATCTTGCAGGGTCCCTCAGCAGCAAAACTGACTAATGTTAAATTATGAAGGTTTCAGATGTGGCAATACATGAGGTATATTATAGGTAGGAGGTTGTAGAACAGTCTGACTAGATGCAGTTGTTTACTTATAAACTAAAGCATGTGCATTGAAATCTTCTGAGTTAAGCTGTTATTAAGAAGTAAATTCTAAATGGAGTTATTGAGATTTATTACTCAAAGCACTTGAACATGACTAATTTGTGATGCATATTTTCAGTATGGCAGCCTTACTAAAGCAAAACTTCTTACTAAGCCTTTCATTAAAATCAGAAGAACAAGTTCCCCCATAAATTAAAATTCAGCATCTTCAGCGAGTTAAATTTTGATCAAAGCAAATCACAACTCCAGGAAATACTTGCAATATCCCAACAGTCAGGATTTATCTTTTTAAGCAGTATCTTAACTTATTAAGTACAAACATTTGACATATAGATGCCTAATGGTGGGCAGTCGAGACGCCTCTTGTTTTGCAATGCGAATGAAAGTGGCTTGTGCCTATCTGTCCAGTTTCTTAGCCATAGAATTGTTTGAAGGTTCACATTCAAAATCTATGTTTGGCCACCGCTTGATTTACTTTTCTGAAAACGTAAATCTATTTGAATACAATTCTGGACAGAGAATAGCAATAACATAATTCAATTAATAATTGGACATGACTATCCTAAATGCTCCCTCTGAGATGAAAAAGCCAGTAAATGTAAATGAAACTGCTGAAAAGTCACATTAAATCTGAATAGTTCCTCAAAACATGAATGAAATTGAAATATATATAAGGGGTTTGGAGAAAAGAGCTTTTAAAAACATCATAATTTCTGTAATATTTTTACCTTTTTCCCCTATTAGGTATGGCAGACAGAGATACACATGATAGTAAAAATGATGAAATACAATCATTTTCTGCTTGAATTGTTCCAGTCTCCTTGAAACTTTACAACAGCTAAATATGAATTGATATATATGAATTGATTTAAAGATTATATTGAGATTTCACAGTAAATAATTTCTAATCCCCCCCTCAAAATTCATCATTTTATATAAATCATAATCTGGACTTTCAGTTTTCTTAAAATTGTGTAAATGATTTTGGGCTCATGATAGTTCATCAGACACAAAAAGGGTCCCTGTCTACATTTAAAAGATAGTATTTTAACAGGATTATTTTCATATTTAATAAGTAAAAAAATCACATTTTCACCTTGTTGTAGTAGATAACCCTAGATTTTGGAACACTCAGGCTTATGCTCTAATGAATAGTTAATTAGTTTCAAAGCACAATTGTTGTTTCTCTGATGAAAAACGAATGAATCAATGAATAGGAAGACTATTAAACAAAAGTCAATAGCTTCATAACCAGGGCACTCACTTGGAATGTAAAGGTATGGTACATAAACTTGGATATCCCAAGTACAAAATGGAAGAATGAGAACATTGTTTCTCACACAGTTTCAAAACCAAATAGCAATAATTTCCCATTTTGAACCTTTCTGGAAAATACATCTGCCCATCTACAAAACATAGCCAGGAATGTCCATCCAATTTCACAGAATCATATAATCATTAAGGTTGGAAAAGAAATCCAAGATAATCAAGCCTAGCCCTTAACTGATCACCACTTTGACAATTAACCACAGCATTAATTGTCATGTCCAGTCATTTCTTGAACACTTCCAGGGATAGTGACTCCATCTTTTCCCTGGGCAGCCCATTGGAATGCTTGACCACCCTTTACAGTGCACAAATTCTTCCTGATGTTCAACCTCAACCTCCCCTGGTGTAACTTTCCTCTTGTCCTCTCACTAGTCACTGGCAAGAAGAGACCCACCCATCCACTTTCAGAAAGTTGTAGAGAGTGATAAGGTCTTTCCCAAGCCTCTTTTTCTTCAGTTAAACATCCCCAGATCTCTCAGCTGCTCCTCATAGTCCTCACTCTCTAGATTTTGCACCAGCTCCATTGCCCTTCTCTGGACACGCTCCGGTACCTCAATGTCTTTTTGAAGTGAGGGCCCTGAACTGGACACAAGGTCTTGAGGTGTGGCCTTCACCAGTGCTGAGTACAGAGGACCATCACTGCTGTGGTCCTCCTGGCCACATTATTTTTGATACAGGCAAGGATGCATCTGCTTCAAAAAGCTCTAAAATAAAATATTTTATGATTAGCTTTTGATAAAAGTAAAGGGTATTTTCCCTTCAGTGATGACATTCCATAAATAAATAGTTTGATTTTTTAAAAGTTAAAAGCTCAGAGGACTTATGTCAGGAATTTGTCCATTAAGTCTAGCCACTTAATTGTCTAAATTAGGAACATAGATTACTTATATTTTATCTGTAGCCAAAATGGAGAAATTGGCATCTCTAGAGGTTAGTTACTAATGGTAATGGACTGAGACTAGAGCAACAATGCAGACAGCCCAAGCACCTTGAAGCATTTGCCTTCAACATCTGATCAGCAATCAATAATCTGAATTTTATCTAAATTGGGAAAACCTTGTTTAGAATTCTCACTTTAACCATATCAGAAGTCATTCAAGTTTCTTACCCTTAGCATTTTAACTGCATCATAGGGTACCATATTTACCTTTTAAGGGCAAGTTCTCTGTGCCATATAGAAATGTGCATTTATTTCTGTTCTCTTTGCCATTACTGTAACATACTGATGAATTGTTATGAGTATGTGAGAATTACTGCTGCATTCATAAATTTTAGTAAATTGCTTTATTTATGTGAAGGAGGCCACAAAGCAGCAAGACAGTCATCCAGATTTTTTAAATAGCTGTATTATAGGATTTTTATTGTATTAGACTTAGCATACCATTGATAAATTATAATCAGATATTTAGATAAGTGCATTTGTGCACCCTGTAGAAGTTAATCATATGCAAGTACATAATATGCATTTAAAAAGTTTTCAAAGGCTTCCAAAACTTCTGAATACACACAAAATTAAAATCTGTGACAAATCCTCACATGTATTTCCACAATGCCAAAACAGGGATACGTGGATATAATACATTTTGGTGCCTATTAGGCCAAAATGCAACAAAAATACTAGTAACTCAAATTATTGAAAATCTTCTTTATTTTTCAGATACTAGAAATAAAATGAAGCTATAATATTATTTCCTTACAAGGTTGTTAAAAGGTTTCTATTTGATATTAGCTCTAGTGATTATTACCTATTATGAGTTCCCATTCCTGCTCTTTATTAATGTTCTGGTTTTCTCTAAAAGTAAATTACATAGATGAATACATTTAAACCAGAAATTAGGTAAGTCTTTATTGGAGCTTTAAATGGAAATTCTGCAGCTGTGAGTATAAGTGTGAATGTGGAACAGTTATTTTGTCACTTAATATTCTCAAAGTCTGCATAGCCATGAATCTATGCTTTTAATTTAGCAACAAAATGGAAGCAGGTGTATTTCAAACCAATTAAGTGCAGTGACTGCAAACCACCAATGGTTGTGTTAGCAAACATGTGCCTATTTGTTCTGTGTACTAACCACAGGAAAGACAGCCTTTTCTACAGGAAAGGATAAGATACTAAAGCATAGTGTAATATGGAAAAGTTGGCTGAAATATGCATCTTTTGCCAAAGACTCAGATGTTTTTTCAGGCAAGAACCACAGGAGACATGCCACATACCTTGCAGATGCTGTAGGAAGAGGGTTTATGGCAGTAATTTACTGCTAGATCTACCACTCCATTTTCAAGATGGGACTGAGCTGGTCACAGTGTAATTTATCAGTGCCAGTCTCAATAGTTCCTTCTACATCACCAAGGAGCAGTATCCAGGACTCAGACTATGACCACAATTCAGATTACTTGGCAAATCTTGCAACAGTCCAGCTCTGCTGTGAGTCTTGTGGCAAAACCTTCGTCTTGTCTCTGCTCTTTTACTGTTTGTGAGTCAGGAGAGACTCAAAAATCACACTCTCATCACTGCTGCAATACAACTATCATAAATTCACCTTTCACACACCTATCATAAATTCAGACTTTTAAGATTTAAGTGCTTTCCATTGCCTTGCTACATACCAATGCAAGTCCAGCTAAAACTAGCAAAACAGGGTTTACTGCTGCATCAAAATTCAGTGTGGTCAGCTGCCAGAGAAACCTGTTTTTCACATCCTCTTAAAGTACATTATGTTCAGGCATTTTCAGAATAGAAAACTGAATCCTGGGTGCCAGTACAGTCATGCCAAGGGAACAGAATGTCATACAATTTGACAGTCATCATGAAATTAGTTATTTTGCTTTATCATTTTTAAGTTAAAATAACAGAAAAAAATAGATTTCCTTTGTCCAGCTATCAACAAATGCACTTACTATTTTCAGAGACAGGTTAAGAAACAATAAGAAAATATTTTTTATTTTGTGTTTTCTTCAGATCCACTGAAAGAGGTATTTCTTCTCTATATTATCCACTTAATAAACTGTCACGATGCTTACCACTCCAGCCTTTCAGCTTACACTGAAGAGAATGTGACTGGGAAAACCTCTATTCTTTTATTCTTACACTTTCCAAAGGAATATACTTCTTTTAGTTTTAATCTTCCTTTTCCTTTAGCCTCCCTCTGTCCTCTAGACATCACTCTAGTAATATATTCTGTTTTTTTTCAGCAGGATACTCCCCCTGCTCCTCTTCTTGTTTTACATTAAAATTCCCTTTAGTATCAATGCAATTTTTTGCATTATTTTTTTGTCTAAATGAAATTGTTCTGTGTTACTGTTAGATTTGCTGTCAAAAAGGGGGAAAAAAAAAAGAAAGTGATTTCATTAAAACTTCAAATTCAGAAATTCTAATTGCCTTTTCCTTTCTTTATAAATCTAAATATAAATCAGGGAGGAAAGGCCAAGAATGACAGTGCCAAGTAAAAAAATTGCAACTATAAAAAGCCTGAAAACAGTTCTGACAGCTAAAACATGAAACAAACTTGTTGATAGATACTCTTTCTGCACAATATGCTTTTTCTATTTTCTCTGCTCTACACTGAGAGTATAAAAACAGATTTAAAAAGTAGTCCATCATTTGGTAATGCTGCTAGGATAAAAATACCAAAAATAATACAATTTGCTTGCTTGATACAAAAATAAATACTTTTAAAAAACTATCTCCCTTTGATGTTTGAAGAGAAAAGACTTTCAGATGCAACTACCAATCACACCTCATGATTTCAACCATAAATTGGGACAGGAATTTTTCAAGTGAATCTAGCATTTGGCTACTTCCAGTATCTTACTTTGTTGAACTTGAAAGCATCTAGGGTCCTAGCCCGATATCCAAGTACTTTTAAATTTTATCATGCTGCTGTTATCTAGAACTCTGCCCAACACACTTTGCAGACAGTGATGTAGATAAAGGAAGGAAAATACCCTAAAACATTGTAAGTAGTGTAACCTATACTACTTGCTGTCATTTCTATCAACTTTATGAATCAAAGGTTTAGAATGATGATACTTAAGGGAAAGTTCTCTACTTGAGCTAAATGACATTTTGGCATTTGTAAAGCAATAAGGCTGCCTGTAAGGACTGGAAGATATTTGTACATGATTGTGCATGTGTGTCTGTATATATGTGTGGTCTGATCTACTCTCTAGCAGTGTTTTTCTAACATACTCACAAAATAATGCTCAAATGTTTTACAAATCTGATAGCTTCAATGAAAAACCAAGATATATGCTAAAGAACAGTTATCATAAAACTGAACTCAAATGCTTTCAAGTAGGAAGAGGTAGAAAATCATATCCCACTATACCCATTACTGATATTAGTGTTGTTGGGATCAGTACAAGTTTTCTTCAGATCTTAAACCAGTAAAATTTATGCTATTCAGATTCAGTTCAGTTTAATGATGAATGTAACTTATAACATCAGGAAGCATGGACATGTAGGTTTAGTGTGGGCTACCAGCTCCAGTATGATGAGCTTCTGAAAAGACAGAAGCTCATCATACTGGAGCTTCTGATTGTTTTACCTTGCTAAGCTCATTCATTCTATCCTTTCTTGTAATAAAGTGTGCTTATTTATGCAGCTTTCTCATCTTCCCCTCCCTGTACCAAATTTTAGTCAAAAGTGAAGATGACAATACATCTCAAAAGCAAGTAACCTATGTGTAAATGCAAGTACTGGTCCCTAGCTTTTTGGTCACACTAACCACATTTCGTTCTAACCAATGTGTTACAGCTTAGAAAAATCCTAAAAGATATAAATAAAACTACAATGAAGATGACTGTAGCTAATATGTTAGTAAGAACTAAGATTAGAAAGAAAAAAAAATTATTGAATTTATATTAGATGACTTGTGACTAGACATAAACAAAAAATATCTGAATTCTGCTTATTCTTCTCTGTAATCATTAAGTTCAAAACCAAATCAAGACCAATCAGTTAATCTTCAACAGATGATATAAATAGCTCTGAAGCAAAAAATGAAGGAAATTCTACATCCTCTATAGCCAAACTATTTCCATGTTCCTCTATTCTTTCATTTAAAAGATTTGTGAATTTTTTGTTGGTTAGTTGGTGTGAGGTATTTTGTGGGGCTTTTGAAGGTTTTTCATTGGTTTGGGTGTTTTTTTTTATTTGTTTGGGTGTTATTTTTGGATTTGGGGTTTTAACTGATAGATAGCATCCCTTGTTTTTTCAACAGGTTGTTTCTCAGGGCCTCAAGAGTGATATGAAATTCTCTTTGAGATTTTTTTTCTTCAAGCTACACAGCACCAACTTCTCTCTTCCTCAGAAATAATTCTTCTGGACAACTAATCTGTGCCATGGATGTAGGTTCTATCCAGTTGTTTACTGAATAATGGTACACCAAACAGGACTGAACTCTTTGAAGAGGACCTTGCCAGTGTGGAATAGCTGAGAAGACCTACAGGGCCTATTCCTGTTTACACATTCTAGCTTCATATTTGACTTTCTTCTTTCACATAATACTCTTGACCTTTGATCAAAATGCTTTCTAACTGTTTTTCTGGCAGTACATTTAAGTATTACTTAAAATTTCTTTGAAGTTTGAAAATTAACCCATAAAAGTCAATTTGATTTTGTTTTGCTTTTGTCTTTCCCTGTAACTTTGGAGCGGGGGATGTTTTCATTTGAAATAATTTCAAGATTTCTTTCACCTTCACATTCTCAGTTCTTCCCCACATCAACACTTACATTACTTTTTCAAAACTGTTTCAGCCTTACAATTTATATGTCTTTTGTACAATCTTGATATTTTCTTTTTTTCCCTAAAAAACTACAGTTTTTCACTGTAGTTAAAAGTCTTTTGAATTTAAAAGAAACAAGAGGCCCCCAAATAATCCAAAATGTTGTCACTAGACCCTATGCATTAGATGATTCCTTTTCTTTATCAAAAGCCTAATCTGTTTCTTTTTTTTTTTTGTTTGGTAGTCAACATTACCACATATGTTGTTTGCTCTTTCTTCAATACCCATGAAATACAAATAATAATTTATTCTGAATCTCAGAGCAATTATTTAACTTTCAGTTGCATCCATTTCTGCCTGGATATTGACGTTTTTTCTTCATTCTATTTTTGTGAGATAATTTCCACGTCTTTCATAGAATATGTGTTGATTTTTACCACTCTTCTGGAATTTACATTATCTATTCTGAATTTTTAAGCATTTCTATCTATACTTCTTAAACTTTATAACACATACATATGTACTTTCTGAGCCTTGAGCAATGCCACATTGTAATACACAATTCAAATACAAAGTCCTATATATATTGATGATATTTTTCTACAGCCAGAATAATGGCTTATTATGTTTGTGTCTTGGTGTGCTGAATTTAATGCTGTCAGACACTGTGAAATTTAAACTCATCATTAGCCACAATGAGGATAGGAATTTAAATTCACAATGTAGGCTGAAAGCCGCAGGCCATATTTTTTTGGTTTAAATAATTTCTTTTCTGGAGTTGCTTTCTGTGTGCTAAATTATTTCTAGCTTATAGGAGTCTGCTATGAATAAGATTTGAAATGTATTGCAGAGCAGACGTTATCAGAATCTATGTTTTTCACAGCTTTACCTGCATACCTGCTTTATAAACTGATCTAGGAAAAACAGTGAGGTCCAAGATGTTACTGGTGGTGAGCTAACATTTCCTCAGAGTAAGGCTTTGTATCAAACTGTGACTGCCATGGACTCAAACAGTCCTCAAACCTTCATGTGAGGCTTTCTGCTACTTTCCACCTAAATTTAGAGTCAATTCATGTAAGTTTGTAAAGCATGATGTATGTCATGACAAATGCTTCTATAATGTCACCATGCACTTTGTGGTTACTAAATACATTTACTTGTGCTTCAAGTCAGGATAAAAATTTGCTTAAGGTTCAATAAAAATAAAAAAGCCACTTTGTAGGGGTTTCTAATATAATTCAGAGAAAATGAAGTGCACTTCTGACATGCATTACATGTCTTACAGTACGAGGTACATCAGTATATTCTTAGAGAAAAGTCAGGTGCCTACAATATCTCCTGAAAATGTAACAGTATTTCTCCTATTCTGAAAGCTTTACAAATTGAAATCCAAATTATTTCATCTTCTAGCACCCAATGAGAATACTGTTCCAGAACAAAGCAAAATTTTTTTGGCCTTGTAGTGTCACCATTATAGTGTGAGTGTTTGGAACCAAATTCTCTTTTTTATTGAACTGAAATCCTACAGTGTTCTGCAACCTGATCCTTATCTCATACAACACTTTTTTTTTTTTTTTCCAGATATAAATAAACCACAAGCAATTTATTCAAAGAAAAAAAAAAAAAAAAAAAAAAAAAAAGGAAAATAGGAATCTTGGAGCTCTTTTATGATTCACCTTTCCCTCCTGTGAGTAGTTATATCTTAAAAATAGAGATGAGTCTGAGTGCTGCAATTTAAATGTGCATTTGCAAAACTACAAAGCCTGAGGGCATGTAAGTGTCAACGTTAGTTCAGGTTTAACAGTTAGACTGTTGCTGCAAAATCTGAACCAAATTAATACCCGGTGCCTCCATCAAAGCCCTCTGAAAGTTTACTGTGTGTTTTCCGAAGAAGCTGTTTTGGTTTGATTTAAAGTTAGCTTACTAATAGTGGGGCAAGTTTCCACTAAGCTTTGACTGCTCCCTAGTTCATGTGGGTTTGCCTGGTTATCTGTAATTCAAATACCTCAAATGAGAACTATTTTAAATTACATCTGTAGATTTCATACAGTCCTTCAGCAGGAAATGTAGAATGTGACTAAGAATAAGATGCAGAAATTGGCAGTTTTTCCTAAAAGCATTAATGCATCCATTGGCCACAAATATCCAACAGTGGATATTGGTGTTCATATTGGTGTTAAAGGTTTAACCTGAAAATCAGATTCACTTAAGTGTGAAACAGTCTCTGGATTGATGCTGCTCTGTACCAGAACAGGCAAAATAGTCTCCACCAACCTTGAGAAACTGCTGTCTTCATTCTGCAAAGGAACAGCTCAGACAAGAACAGAATCAGCTTAAAAAAAAATAAACCTTACTTAATAGAATCAAATAGATTACAGCCCAGAAGGACAGGAAAGGATTAAAATCTGTCTTCTCTTGTAAATGATGCTATAATGAAAAAAGAAAAAAAAAGTTGATTACTTAAGGAGAGTTATTCAGAAAGTATGGATTATAGAAAGGTTGACTCTCTGTTTCAAAGGTGTGTCATTTAGTTGTTTGGGTATTTTTTTTTTCATTTTCTTTTCTTCTGCCTGACTATATGGTGGTTTCTTTTATTTCTCAGTCTACAGAAGAGGCTAGATGAGTATTTTTCACTGAAATGGCTGTAGAGGAATTGAATGTGTTTTCCTGCTCTGACAAAACTGTTTGCACATTTATCTGTTTTTTGGTTTATTCCTTTTTAAGAAAAATTTATTTTACCAAGACTTATTTCGCTTTACGTATGTTTCTGAGACCAATTCTTCTTTTCCTTCCACACAATTTTAAGCGCCAAAAGTCAAAACCTTTCTTTAGTTAATAAACTGTTTTTATCCTTAGGTTAATGTATTCTTCCAACAGTCTACACAGTCACCTGCAGGCTGGTGTGGATACACTCTACTTGGAATCTGAGCTGGATGGTTGCATTCTACCCTTAAATAGAAGATATAAATTTATTTAAGCTGTGTCCTGGATAATACATTTATAAATAAATAAATATATTTATTCTCACCATTTGTAGCCTGCCCATAAAGCTTTCAGTTCATAGACAAGTTAGAGTTCAGATATATAAATGTGATTGTAATCAGCTCTGTAGTTGTACCTCCAGAGTCATGACCTGACAGGTTGTTTTGTTAAGTGGTTAGACTACGACAATAATATCTTTCAGTTAGCGCTCCCTCACAGGCAAGAACAGACATTAAGTGCTTTCTTGAAACCTAAATAAGCTTATCAGAAACCTTATTCATCACTGGAGTACATATTAGTGTACTCATTACTCAGGAAACACAGAAATCCTATATATGTGATGCATTTTTGTTACTGACAGATGATGACAGAAGATTTCAGGTTCATTTAGTGTTCAGAATAACAAGAATTTGTCATATCTGCTTAAAGGATTAAATTTTAGCACCACATCAAATACAGTAGTTTTACTGTGGTCAGAAAATTTGGCTCCATAAGCCACCTTAAAATGATTAAATGCTTCCCTTCATCTTCACTCTCCAAACTCCATCTGTACTGAATGACAGCCCACCCCACTGAACATGGCAAATCCAAGACCTTCTTTCCCATTCATGCTGAAATTCCTATTCAGTCTCTCAATGCACTAGATATAAGTCTACTGTAATAACCACATACATCAAATAATAAGTTATTTTTCTACATTTCAGTACTCGTTATAAATATTTTATTTCTACTTCTCTAACCTAATTTGCAATTCACATATATTTCCTCATAATTCTGTCATATTTCCTTTTTATAGCCATAAGCCGTATTTCTATTTTATCATTTCCTTTTAACTACCCTGGAAGACCTTTCTATATTTCAATTACCTGCAGACTCCCAGTCCTGCAGCATAGTCTTAAAATCAAAACTGAAATATTGATGCACTCCTCTGCATATTAATTCTGATTATTAGAATATTATCAGAATATAGGTATGCTGGAACCTTCTGAAGCTTCCTTGACACATCAAGGCTCTCATCTTTCATCTAGTGAAGTCAATGACTGATCAAAAGCCAGACTGAACCCACTGTAAGCATATACTTCAGTGTAATGAAAAAGATACTTGCAGCCCTTCACATACTTTTTCCTGACAATGTTTTGGTGTCAAAGTATATTTTACCTACATGCATCCTGCTATTAATCTGACTAAGTTACCACAGTATGTGCTCTATTGTCCTTTTCTGACTTCCATTTTTCCACATGATTGTGCTATTTGACAAGGAAGAAGGTTCTTAGGAAGTCATAGTGTCCTGCAAATTTTTTATGCCTCTTTTGTTTCTCCTAGTACTGCTAGCAACAATGTGCAAACCTTTGTACAACTGCAATTCCCCTAGTGAGAACTATTTCTATGTTTGAAATATGAGGAAAAAAGTTAGCTTCAGCCAATTAGATCAGATCATACAATACAGACGTGGAACTTCATGTATTTGAGAAATTTGCATTTCCAAAAATTATGAAGTGGTTGAACTCTACAGAACCAAAATCTTGGTAAAACTATAACTGACAAATTTCTAAGTAGCTCCTTATTTCTTTTTAGAGAAAAAGTATTACTGTTGACATGTTAATTATAATAAAAAAATTCAGTTGTATCCTGAAAGGACTTCAAGTCCTGGGCTAAAAAAAAGCAGACTACACCACCCAGATATGCAGCAGTAAGAAAGAAAATAATCCAGCAATTAAGAAAGTAGTAGGAAACAAGATTAATTCAATTTCCTTAAAGGTAAGTAATATTTTCCAAACAATTTAGACTGGGTTATATAGAAAAAATTATATAGCTGATTTGCTACATCTAGAAAACGAAATTGGATTTGACTGCAGAACAGCAATGGCTTCTGATTGATGACCTATCTAATTTAATTTGCAAATCTATTTTTGCTTTGCTTTTTTAAAGCACGATTAATAAACATAAAAAGCCACATGTGCAAGTATAACATATAGAAGCTATGTAAATCTGGAATGAAAGAAATTATACTATAGTTTTTATGGGTCTGAAAAGAAGGGTCAGAGATAAAATCATGTTTAAATAAAGAACATTATAGGAAAGTGAAGGAATTATATAATCAAAAGAACATGTAGGAGACAACATGAGAGTTAAATTACTGCTTCTTCTTTGAAATCATAGAGAGAGAAATTCCCTCTTCAAAAAGCAAAACATTTGTAAAATTTGGATAGAAAAGTATGAGTTGAATAGGAAAAAAAAGAGACTTTCTGATAGTGTGCACTTAGCTTTAACTAAGAAAGCCACCTTGGAAGACAAAGCAGAAAAAACCTCATTTACATTGTAAAAAAAAAAATAGGTGCAGTTTGACTAAAACTAAGTGAGTTCCAGGTTCCTCCATCCTTCATATACAGCTGCTAACTATGAGTTTGCTTTAAGAAAAAACAAAACAAAGCAAAACAAAACCCCATACTAACAGAGCCATCCAGTGAAGGTTTTTATAAAACTTTATTTCACAGCATTGTCTCAGGAAAATCCAGACAAAGGGATTCTACCTAAGGGATTCTTAATCTTTCTCAAAAGTACTTTGGCAGGATAAAGCTGCCTCATGATGTGTGCTTGTACTCTCATGAACAAGGTTGATCAGTGCTGTTCTGCTACAGGAGTATCTTACAGAGATCATAATCCAGTTAAAAGAAGAATGAAATAAAAGCAAAGGGAATAAAATTTTGAATTAAGATTTAAATAAGAGAAGTAAAAATCAGATACTCTTGTTCTGTAGGTGCAGAGAGACAGAAGAAGACCCTGTGATGCTATAGATGCTTGGAACAGCAGGGTGAATATAAAAAAAATGGAGAAAGGTTTAACCATGTGCAGAAAGGAGCCCCTGAGCCCACCAGAAAATGAGCTTCTTGTTACTACTTGTTTCCCTAGTTCTTTAACAATATGTTCACCTCATCAAGGCTTTCTCTTTCCTCCCTCCAAAGCTCCATGTTACATGTTAAACTTGGTGGCAGGAAGCATCTCTGTGCAAAAGGACAATAAACAGCTGCAGTTCTCACAGCTCTCTCTAACAACACAAAATTTGAATCTTTTTTCTTCTTTCCTTGAGTAATAAAGCAGAAAAGAGCTGATGCAGTTAAAAGGAAAAGCAAAATTAGCAATGTAAGGAAGCATAAGAAGTTAAACTAAGCCAATCAATTGTCTAATTTTAAAGTGAGACACTTTATTATACAAATATATAACTGCAATATCTCTAAACCAAAAACTACTTCTGATTCCATATTTTTCTTATCTGCTTGGAATAGGCTGCATACACAAAAATTTACAAATAAAAATGTTACAAAAAAACCTAATCAGTGAGAAGCTGCCAGCTTATCTTTCAAGTTTTTATTAATCAAGAATTTCTTAGACTGACTTATGATAGATTGCTTTTAAAAGTTGAGCATCAAAAAACATTCTTCTGAATGGAGGAAAAATAGTATATGAAAAATCCCACATTGCCATGATAGCTTACAAATGTCCATAAGCATACTTTGAAAATTATTTGCCAAAATAAATAATTTACTGGACACATTCACAGTGAAGTATTTTCAAAGAGACACTGTTGATTGCTACAGAAGAAAAGAAAATAATTTCATTGTAGTACCACCCTTAAGTAAATACATGCAAGAGATTTATCTCCAAATAAGCACATCTTATTTTCTCTTTTTTATATTCAGCTTTTGTTTTATTTCTTCTTCCATAATTCCTTCTCTATATTCACCCCAAGGCACCATGATAATAAAAAACACAAGCTTGAGAAAAATAAACTAAAGAAAAAAATTCTGGTTGATGTTTGACATTATGATTTCCTGCCAGGTTTCATCAGTCATATCATGCCATGTGGAGTAATACAATCTGATTGATGCTGCTCACAGGGACTCATCACCTTTCAGGTGTTTGCTGAAGAACTTAAAGGTATCACATAATCTTTGGATAAAATTAATTCTTTTGGTGCCAAATGTTTGATTAAAAAATAATGATAATGACATCAAAAACTTATGATTGCATTTCTCAGTGGTGGGGAATCTAATTCTTAGCATCATTTATAAATGGCTAAAAGACTTATAATTGCTAAAACAACTTATAAGTTGTTTTATTTTTTTACTTATGATAGATACTTTGAAATCTCATGGATCAATTGTACATTTAAGATTAATTTTCTCAGCATTTATTATTATGACCAAGTTTGAGCCTTAGCAGGATTCAGCATGATTGTCTTTTTCCACGTTATGCTTTCCTGCAGATTGCTGAACACCTCACTGCTCATGGAAAGCACTGAATTAATTCCTTGTTTTGCTTTGCTTGTGTGTGTGACTTTTGTTTTACCTAATGAGCTGTCTTTATCTCTCCACCCATTAGTTTTTGTTTTTTTTTTTATTTTCGCCCTTCCAGTTCTCTCCCCCACCCGCACTGGTGGAAGAATGAGTGAGTGCTTGTGCCAGACTTAGTTGCTGGCTGTGGCGAAACCATAACAGTAACCTTTATTTCATTGTAAACTCATATAGCCAAGTCAAGGCAAGGTTTTTCAACTGAGCCTCATGAAATCTTAATTCATATGGAAGTCAGACTTGATATTTTATATACAAAAAACCAAAGACTACCGTATACATAATATTTTTTTAACAATTTTGAAGGAGCATTACATAAACAAATAGCACACACCCCAAAACAATACTTTATTTTATACTAACATATAAAACCAAAACACAGCGGTAAGTGCGATTTGTACCACAGTTGATCCTGTAGAGTTTAAATTAAATCTACCTTTAGAGGAATTGATATTTAAATAATGCAGTATTTTTTGGTTGGTCAAACAATCACTGATAATGAGAAGATATTTTCTTCTCCAATGGACTAAAATTTTGTAGATTGATAGTTTACTTACTACTAAAGTTATTTAAAAATATATTTACATGCATTTAGATTCTTTATTATTACCATACCTGTTACTTTCAGTCTGTCAGCTCCAATGACAATCTCATCTTCATCTGCAGAAAACAATATTTTTCCACTGTCACTTGCTCTCACTTCAAATCTCTTACACTGAGCTTCCACAGCATCAGCTCCTGAAATCAAGTGAGTGATCATTACATCTAAGACATTTTGTAAGAAATAATCATCAGGATAAATTGAATATTCAAAATATATTGAATACATGACGCTTTACTAAAATATTTGGCTTTCTGTAAGCCTGATAGATAATTCGCATTATAAAAAATGTTAAAATAGTTTACAGAAATAACTATGAAAAACATCTATTTCATCATTATATGGAAATCAACACTAAAATTTGACTGTACTTAAAATTTAGAATGTACTTAAACACTGAGATCTTGAAATGCCAATTCAGACTGAGCTTTATGGGGTTTTTTTCAGTTTAAATTGCAGTTTCTTGCCAAAAAAATAATAACACATGACCCTATTCCATCAAGACATACAAATCAACTCAGCAGAAAAGGATATTTTTCATTCAGTTCTACTCCAAATTTAGAGAATGGTATAACAAAAAAAGCCAAAAAAACCTAAAAACAAAACAAAAAAAAACCCAAACCCAAACAAAACAAAACAAAAACAAAACAAAACAAAAAAACACACCAAAACCAACAAAAAACTTGGATTAAGATATCAAACTTTATGTTATATTTTAGGAAACAATATTCTCAAATGTCTCAAAGCTCAAAAATCCTAAAATAATTCTGGAATTGGAGAGATATATGGATTGATATAACTGCAATGAAGAAACTTTCCAGGTTAAGACTTTTAAGACTTTTAAATTTACTATGCTTTTCAATTTACAGGTCTTATTTTATTTTATTAATATGTGAAAGTAAACATTATTTCTGAAACTGGTGTTGAAAAGCAACTTATAATGCATTCCTGGAATAAATCTATATGCATAAAAATTATGTGGAGAGCATTACAGACAAATAAATTTATATAAGTTATTTCAGTTTAATAATCTGGTTTAAAAGCTTGTAAAAAACTCCTTCTCCATAATATGTAAGTTTTTTATTTAATATGCAAATGCATCATATCAAACTATGTAATAAGGAATATGAAAATGGTGATAATGAATTTTGGTCAAGGAATTGCCTTAGCAGCTCATAATTTGCAGAATCAGCTATGTGATCAAAAAAATTCCTCTTACTTTCAGATGAACTTATGTTTGTACTGTAAAAAAAAACCTGACTATTTTTGATCCACAAAGAAAGAAAAATTAAAAAGGATTATCAAAATACTTGTGATGATGCATTTTTTTAAACTTAGATATGTTTATTCTGTAAATGTATAAAATGGTATTTTTTCCCACTCCCCTCCCCCACTGAAGTTTTTTTTAATTATTATTATTTTAATATGTTTATCATGTTGTTGGCTTTGTTTTGAAATAAATAAAAATCTGTATAAAAACAGGGGCAGATTTCAGATTTCAAATGCAGATTTTTGGGAATGCCCTTGTCCTGCAACCATACTTGTTTCAGATAACCAAAGGATAATTACAAATAACTGAATACTAAATAGTTTCATCTTTATTTAAGAGCTGATGATAGCTGAGCCACCTAAAAGTAAGTGTCATTATAAGTACTTTGATGTTACTAATTTACACCCATCAGAGTTGTTAGCTCTGGAAAGAAAAGAAATTAACAAAAAATGTGTCAGAAATCAAGAAGAGAAAAGACCTGCCACATACTTAGTCATTATATATCACTGTAAGTGACAGCCCATGTTTCAATAGCAGCTTTTAAAAACTTGTTTTCATGAAAAATTACTTAAATAACAATGGTCTGGAACTTTGACTAAGGAATGTATATATTTTAGATTTTATTTGTGCTGCTTCAGAATCACATTGTGTAAAAGAACACCTAGAATTCAGCTGGTCCAAAATATCATTACAGGAAGTAAATAAATTTTAATGCTAAAATAAATGGGATTTTATTTAATGTTTCACTCAGGACTTAATAGTGTATTACTTGTATTACTTACTTATTGCTGAAATGGTAGTTAGTGTGTTCAAGGCACTTGAGAGTACTAAAAAACATAATACAAGTTACATCTGTCTTTCTGACATAGAACCAGGTGTGAATGTTATAAAACTGGTTTTGAAAAGTTAAACTGCCTACAGAATACTCAGTGCTATCAAAATGGAATTCTGTTTCATTTCATTTTCATTTCCCAGTTGAAATAGGAGCAAGAAGTTGCATTTGCAATGTATTAGAGCATTATCTTCTTAGCTGTAAAGCAAATTGCTGTGTTCCAAAAACACTCTACAAACACACACGTCTCATAAAATGTCTGAATCTTTAATAGTACTACTAATAAAAACAATGCATCAAGTCTTAGAATATTATGCATGAACAAAGCAAGTATTTTAAAATTCTAATCTCAAACCTGTAGAGCCATCACTATTTTCAGCAAATCATATCTGCTTGAATAATGCATACTTCAGCCCACAGAATCATGTATGAAAATCTGTCTTCTAAATTCTGTTTGGAAAGGTAATTTCTGTCAAACACATGGCTACCAGAAAAGCTGTTTAGCTTTGCTACTTCTTACTATATTGCTATTCTGCTTCATACTAGACATGGAGTTTGCTACATAACAGCATTAATCGGGTTAAAGAGGTGTTTATGACAAACTCTTTTTTCATCTTGTGTTCAAGAAAACTATTTAGTTGTAAATTCAGATGTAAAATTCTCAAAAAAATAATTATGTTTCTGTGAAATTCCTTCATTTAAAGTATATACTTGAAAAATATATGTATCATATTCAAGTATACATGGTATGTAATGATGGTTTATAACACATGCTTGGTGCACAGCAGTTGTATAATTAAAACTAGCCTTAAACCAGCTACATTTAAAATAGTACAAAGCCTAAAATTGTTCATTTTAACTGTAGTGAAGATGCATTAAATGAAAATGTTGGGCAGTACATGCTGTATTTTTCTGTAAAAATAAAGAAAATTATGGTTCTGTAATCCATATTAACAGTAATAGAGATTAAATTTCAAAATAACAACTATTTTGAATTTGTAGATAGCTTGACTTGCTAATTAAGTAATATAATCATTACAATATGAAGAATGCGTGTTCTAACATTTTCATTTTAAAGTCAAGGATTACTTACAGTACTTCATTATTATTCAGAAATAATAATTAGAACCATTATTGGCTGTGATAATAAATAGTAATAAGAACTCTCCAGTCTTACAAGGTTTAGATATGATTACAAACACTAGCAGTTGTCCGATTTCTCAACCACCTTCCATGTTCACCTGACACACAAAAAATTCAGACATAGAAAAACATAAAAAATCAACAACCTTAAATTAAATATAAGGATTAGAGTCCAAATGGAATTACCACAAACTGATCCTTGTAAATGGGAAACATAGTGAAGTTCAATATACTTTCTTCTGCTTCTTTAATGAAAAATGGGTTATTTAAATGCTTATTAAATGCAGAGTTTTATGCAGAGTCTGGATGACAAAGAAAGTTACTTTTATGAGAATGTGTTGATGCTTCTGAGATTGGAGATTAAAGAGATAAAGCATTTTTTATAAAAATACAACACTCATCTGGGTCTAAGATCAATTTTTGAGAAGTATATATCTAGATAATTTAAAAAAATATTAATAGGAATGTTAGATATTATGATATTTTGTCCAGCAGAGATCTCAAAAAATTTTCAGTGAATGAAAGAGCAATTGTGCAAATTAAGGATTCGTACCAGCTGAACAGAAGCAGTGAGGAATTTGGAAAAGAAAAAGAGAACTTTCAGCTGAGAGCAAAACATCTACACAAGCAAAAATTTTGAAGTCAGAACATATTCTGTGTTCTGTTTGTTGAGGAAGGGGAGGGACCATCTTTATTATATCTAAAAAGTGTGAAAGTAGAAGGTAAAAGATCCCTTAGCTCACTCTCAATAGTTGGTGGCCATGCTGGAGAGAGGTCAGAAAGTTACTGTTTCTAGGAGAAGTTGATCTTCAAGGTTTCCTATTCTGAATTATTATCTACTCAGACAAGGGAAGCTGGAGCAAATGCTGGATGAGAAGAAAAAAAGCACACATTTGTTACCTTTTCTGGAAGTGAAAAATAACGGCTGTCAACATAACTTATTAGCATAAGAATAAGGCACACGTTATTCTAAGAGGAAACTTAGTAGAACAATCTGAATCATATCCATTAAAGACTAGTGATATAACAGGTTTTGGACTTTGTCAAACGAAATCTGACAGAAAAGTTCTACCCTCCCAAGCAGATTTTACTTCTAGGAATTTTGTAGAATTATAGAATCATTACGGTTGTAAAAGACCTCTAAGATCATTGAGTCAAACATTAACCTGGCACTGTCGATACAGTATATAAGTTTCACTGGAAAACACATCTGAAATATTGTCTGTCACCTCTGCAATAGATAGAATATATCCTTCCTGCAATCTGTCTTCTTGTTGCATCTTGACAGTGGAAGAACCCCAGCCATGAAAAGAGTACGTGTGAGTAGTATACAAGCAGCAGCAGATAACACTCTCCATCCTACTTCTATGAGGCCACAACTACTCAAGAACAATTCTGTGCTTTTCTGCCTACTATCCCTAACACATGGTAATTTCCATGAGCCTCAGAAATTACATGGCTGACCAGACCTTTGGTCTGATCAGATACAGCTGTTCATATTTTCATCAGTTATGCGCAATCCGCGGGGGGAATGAAAGTAAACGTGATTCTTTGCTTCTAGAAAGTTGTTCGAGCTTTAAGGCAACATATTTATTTTGCTTCTGTAAAGGTTAAAAGGATGTGCATTGTCTGTAATTTTAGCTATAATATCTTAATTGCTTATATGGGTCCTCAGACAAGAAAGCCAAGCAAGACACAGGAAGGTAAGTCAGGCACCAAAATTTATCTGTAGCTCTTCACAAGGCATGTTTTGCTCTTTTTATAATCTCATTAAGGTTAATTTACTCATAACGTGCTCTAGATTCTTTAACTGAGTAAGCAAGTAAAACGACTTTTGTATCAGACTGCTTTTTCTCACAATACTATAGATGGGTTTTAAACATACAAAAAAT